CCACGAGGCTCTGGGAGGAGGGCCACGCAACGGACGAAGTCGCGAACAAGTCTGCTGTGGTGAAAGACGGCTTGGCCTCAGTTCAGAAGGACCTGGACGCCGCGTTGGGCACGCAGCAGCAGCTGCATGCACTTCTCAATGGGGCAGCCGAGCAAAGGAAAACTTTCGTGGACCTGGCAAAGGCGGGGTTCGTGATGGATGAGGCTTCCAGCCAGCGCAATGCCGATGCCCTCGTGGAGGCCTGGGCCGGGCCTTTGCCAGCCCGTTTTTCTACAGTGTTGCGTTCTGATGAGTTGTCGCGGTTGCGTTAGATGGAGTAGCCCCAGCAGGCGAGTAAGGTCATGTCAGTCTTCGGTGGTCATCACTTGTCAGTGGAGGACGCCTGGGGCACGCTGAAGATCACGGCGGCTACCCGCAGAGCAACCGGTTGCATGAACGCCTCAACTGCCTCGGACGCGGCGGCTGATCTGCAGATAGTGCACGCAGCACGCAATCCACGCCCGAAGATAATCCCATAGCCGTACTCAAGTTTCAGACTGGCACTTAGCGTCGATGGCAGAGCAGCAGTTAGATGATGCCATGGATCAGAAATTGCGTCGCGTCTACTTCAGGCCGCGGCCTCATCAAGTACAGCCATTCAGCAGCTGGGCTTGCCTATGTGTTTCCAAGGGATTTTTTTTGGGGAATTTGTTATAGATTCTTCGGTGACTTGTGGGTCACCATTTTGAGACTTGACACGGATCAAGTACCGCATGTCGGCTGATGGCGTGAAAGATTGGCGTCAAAGAGTATTTTGAGAGCCCCAAACATCCTCCAATCAAATCCTAAGCCCTTAGTCCTCAAGATCCTTAACCCGAAGCTCTGAACCTTCAACCCTACCCCCTGCTGCCAATCTTCTGCCCCAAACCACCCAGGTCGCAGATTCCATCTTCGCTGGAGGCCGTGATGCAAAGAGTGCTCCAGGAGGCGTGGGGCTCGAGGTTAATTGAATACCTTTTTGGGTTTTTTTGGGATTAGACCGGGATAATGGAAAATACAATGGCAACTACTATAATATTGCGGTGATATGGGGGTTATATTGGGATAATGGAAAAGAACATGGAGATGTCGGGTCTAGGCGAAAATTGCCTCAACGCTCGAAAATCAAATGGTGAAGAACGCGGGACATGGAACATATGGAAACTGGGGTTGCATTGTTGTTTATGGGGCGCAAGCCTTCCTTATTCGGAGGTTCAAAGTGTTTGTGCTTTCCTCATTGCCCCCAAATGTGGGGGTTGGTAACCCCGCGCCTGCACATGTCCGCAATAACTTGCAGGTCCACGGGTAGATTCGAGCGAGTACAGATGGGGTAACTACACATTTTGTCGTAGAAGGCGCCAAATCCATAGTTTCTCTGAAATTTTCAGGCGAAGTATTTCCCCTTGAACGATAAATCAAATACGACCATGCGGTACCTCCGTTTCTATTGTTGCGTTTAGTGAGATCCTCCAGCACCTGTCAAGCAATCAGTATCGAAACTATCGTTCTTGAATGTTCCGAGGTGCTCAAACTCTCAACCCTAAATAGTAGTTTCCGTTTTATTTTCCATTATCCCTATATAACCCCCATATGATCCCTATATTTAACCCTTTAAGGAGTTACTTGTCGAGCCCATCTCCTGACAGGCCATGACCCCTATGCGTGAACAGCTGATGATGGATGTGCGAATGAGCCTTGGACGTGGAATTGGACAGCTTGCTTTATCCTACGCAAGTCAGCATCTGCACGGGTCCAATCCAGCCATGAAGGAGTGGAAAAGAAGACGGAAAGCGACATAATTCTAATGGAGAACTATTTGGTAATCAGACGGGAAATGCACCAGGCTTATGAGTTATGATCCCGCTTTGCTTGAGTGGGGGAAGGGAGGGTGCCTCACATCAGCTAAGGGAGTTTGCCCGTCTGAGCGCGGCTCAATCACAAGGTGGCTGGGCTTTTTCTTGATTGGGGCCTGCATAAGATAAGCTGATGATCCCTCCAGGCATTAATCCTGAAGCATACCCGGCTTTCTTGAGGATCAGACGCTGGCAGCTGGCTGAATGTGGACGAGCCACCTCCTGATGCGTGAGTGTGCTGCGGCCTTCAAGGGATTTTTGGTGAGGCGCCTTCATTCCGCTGGTGTGCAGCCGTGAAGCGGAAGCTACCTAGGCTGCTGTATGATCTGTATGTCAGGTGCGGACCAGGCAGAGATTCTGATTACGGTGTAGGGTTTGGGTTAATATGGGATAATATTGGGATAATGGAAAAGAAAATGGAAGCTACTATGTTATAGTGTTATATTGGGGTATATTGGGATAATGGAAAAGAACATGGAAACTACCATATTAATATAGATCAATGCGGTGACTTAGACCGTGGCTTTGCCGCTGCTGCCACAGCTCTGGTATTCCGCTGAGGGACTTGTTTTATGAAGCAGTTACAGTAAGTAAACACATCAATGGGAGCCCGGCGATCTTCTCATGAAGACACTGGAACCAGAGATGAGGTCCAGATGTCTATGCGTTTGTTAGCGGCGGGCCGATAGAGCCCTGGACAGGATTTGGGTTCGAGGCCCGGCGCTCGTTGTCGCGCTTGGGATAGCAAGTTGTACAGATGCAAGTAGACTTGCAGCCAACATCAGCAAACTTCCCATCGTGGCCTGATTGCAAATGATTAAAGGAGGTCTGAGCAGCTGCACGGAGTATCAGGCGAACCAGAGGTTTTGAAACACCTTGTGCAGCACCGAATCATTGCATGGTTGTGGCTGTTGCGAAGGAATATGAGTTCCATGCGGGTATTTCCAGATGAAACTATAGTCCGGGAGATCCTGAAGCTGAGACCCCATGTGGTACAGTAGCGTGATGGCTTCTTGGCGGCCACTCGGTGCTAGTAGCACCACAGCGTGCCTGTCAAAGTGGTCACTGGCCTTGGAAGCATGGGAGGCAGGAACTGCCCCCCCCCGCCTGGAGACATCCAAATCTGCGTGGTGAAGCCAATCCAGAAGTAGGGTACCTATCACACTGCTCAAGTGTTCTATGAGGTTACCATGTCTGGTAGCTTTGCCTGCAGAGCACGGATCATCTTCCCCAGCAAGAGCTGCTGCAGCTGTCCAACATCCTGAAAATTTGGGGTATTTGAGCTCAGTGAGACTTGTATCTATAATAATAGTAGTAATAATAATCGTAATAATGATAGTAATAATAATAACAGTAATAACAATAATAGTAATAGTAATAATAATAATAATAATATAGCTGATCCAATTCCTCATGGACCAGCAGTGCTATACTGACTTTTCACTGACACCCACGCAGGTTTTGCCGACCAGACATAGCTTGAAAATGACCTTGACGGGTGCAGAGGTATAGCCATGGTACCTTGAGTCCGACTTTCTTTTTAGATTTTGCTTGCGAGGTGACGCCTCTAGCTATTTGAGTTACAGGACGGTCCATGACCTGCTGCATTTTGAAGGCAATCCCTGAAGTACTCCATGGCATGGCCGCGCTGCCAGCAATGTTTGCCAAACACATAGCGCATACTTGCTATCCTGACCTGATGCAGACCGACATGTCGTTTGTGAGGATCTCCGCCATCGTGTTCAAGCTTTCGTGGCTCTCATGGATGTAATGCCCGTCAGATTCTGAAACATTCTGATTTGCAAAGATACAAGTAAGCAGGTTTCGATACCTTCAAGCACGGGTCACTTCTTTGATGTTCCTCGCTTGGCGTGTGGAATAGTCATGTGCTGGTAGGCATCATTGCGTGCCTTCATTCACGCCACCTGCAGAATTTAAGTTCAGCCATGCCGGGGTATGATCCACCGGCAGTTTGTCCCAATGGATCGCCGAGCATTTGGGGCGAAGCGTTGCGATTGCGCTGGGACATCCGGGATGTCTTGATCTACGCTGTGGGATCTTCAGCTGGCTTTGGCTCATTTTTTTGCCAGCACAAACTAAGAGTGTGATTCGCTTGGACAGCTTCTGGACTGCTTTGTGGAGTTTGCATTCATTGATTTGTCTGAGGAATCGGATCTCACGACTTGCGCTTTGTGTACGAGGTAGGCATGCTAAAACCTCAGAAGAACCTTCGGACGTCGATGAAAGTTGGATTTCCAGATCCCAACGCTCAAAAGTTCTCAACTTCAAGCCCAATAGTTTTGTGTAGCAATACCCTAAACCCTAAACCGTAAACTCTATATAAACCCTAAACCCTAAACGGAGGGACATCCGGACTTTGCGGTCTTCCCAACCTTCCCAATTCGCTTTGGTCCTTGGGATGCACATGGACTGTAGGTTAGATGGCTTAGGGCCTAGGGTCTAGGGTTTAGGGTTTAGGGTTTAGGATCTAGGGTTTAGGGTTTGGGGTTTAGGGCGTAGCGTTTGATGGACCCCCCAGAGTATGGGCCCTTAAACCTGAGATACCCAGGGACTATTGTTTTAGGGTTTAGGGGTACCGATGGACAATTAAGGGTGGAGGTAGGGGGTACTATGTTCCCTTATGCGGACCTATCTATGTCCATCAAGTGTATGGAATGTATTCAGTGTAAAGCCGATATTATGCCGACTACAGACCCACTGTGTGCTTTACCTGGGGCCCTAAAATCCTCTTAGCAAAGTCTACTGTAGCGGCACATTTTAGGTCATGTTAGCTGTTCATGAAGTTTTAAACCTGAGGCGGACAGTTGTCAAACTTCTTTGTTGTCCCTTGGTAGCTAAGTAGGTAACCTTCGTGTCTTTCGGGCTTCTATAATCCTAAACCCAATACCCCTAAACCCTAAACCCTTTGGGCCGGGCACTCGGCAGCTACATTCTTGTGGGTCATGCAATTAGGGGCCTCCTTCAACAGCTATCCAAACAAGCATCATGATTTTAACAACTGCTGTCATGAGAGCCTGATCCTCAAAATGTCTCCTAAACGGTTGGAGAGACCCCTAAATCCTATATCAGCACGGTTTAGGTCAGGGTAACGCTTCCGTATCCTCACAGGGTATTAGGAGACATTTCCATAACTGGCCTGTGGTCAGGAAGGAAGGAATGGATCCTTATAGCAGTTCCTATAAAAGCCACGACAGTAGTTTTCATCGTCTTTCCCATTCCTTCATTCCTAGCTACTCAAATGCCTGCATAAAGCATAATAAGGCACGCTGGGGGCTGCCAGTTTTGCGACCGCCCTGCCACCCAGCTTGGGCCCCCTGACCATCGATGCAGAGCGCTTTTTGGACCCTTGGCTTGGCGCAGGGTTCAGGGTCTGGGGTTTAGGGTTTTGGTGTCCGCATGATATATGTATTTATGTATGTACATCTATGTCTAGCCATCCTAAAATCCAAGACCAAAGCCCAAGCTTGAGACCTTTAGATCTTAATCCTTGTGCGGTTGTGCGTCCGGTCTTGTACACCAAGCCTCGGTTGTTGTTGTTGTTGTTGTTGTTGTCTAGGCTCGACAACATGGTGTAAATCCGCCTCGAAAGGCTGAGGGCAGCTATGAGAGCCCACACACTTATCCTCCTGGGTGTTCCTCAAAACATTGTCCGTATGATTGAACATGGGCATCCCCAGAATCGACTGGTAATCCCTACCCTTATCTTGGGTCCGAAGCCGATAAACCCTGAAAGATTTCCTCTTTTTTTTGAGAAGTTTCATGTGATTCTGAGGAAATGCACCGGCCCCTCCCGACAGCTGGTACGGCACACATTCGTTTCTGGGATATTCCCGTTTTTTTTTTAAATAAAAATTTTATTGGGAACCAGAAGCCTTATATAAATCCATAAAACTTTGTGATTTGTCAGAGCCCCTAGTTCTATCCCAGGTTCTCGGGTTGTGGGAATCCATCCGCGGCCCAAAGGCAGCTCTTTTGTGGAATATGAAGCTCATCACAGAGTTTAGGGTTTAGGTTTCGGGTGAGAGGGACCCTGCAGGGTCTAGGGTAAGTTTAGGCTGTGTACTGCCCCCACTCTGTAACAGCTGGCTAGTAGTCATCATATAGTTACATATAGCCCTATGACCCCTAATATAGACCGTTGCAGGGTGGGGGCAGTACCCAAAGTTTAGGCTTGTGCAAAAGTAAGACTTTCCGAAACTGCCCATTGCCACGTGGCTTTTACGCAGTCTACCCCGCCTTACCTGCAAGCACTTTAGAGAGTTTCGGACCCTAAGCACTAAACCCCAAACCCGATAGGGTTAAGGGTTATACACCCTGAAGACCAAATTGAATCAAATTAACTTATCATTACTGAGGCTCCCGTTTTTCTCAGTCTGAAACTTACAAAATGTACCTCTCAAAAATCCAACAACAAACTCGAAGTAAATGTAAAAACAGAACCCAAAATCCATACCCAACACCCAAAAACTAGGAGACTCTAGTTTCGGATGGCGCCGATGTGCCGTACTGCCGACTGGTAACTGGGCAATATCGACGTGGTGTGAACCAGTTGGGCGACATTGAGCCATTTGAAGGCGAACACCTCTCAAACTATGTGCCCCTTCTGGGGGCTGTCCAAATATTTGGACATCACATTGCAAGACTTTGCAGGACAAGAATAGGGGGTTAGTTCTGAAAGCAATCCTTTTATAGGTTCGAAACAGTTGGATCTTGTAAACAAGATCCTGCAGGTTTCAGTTTCAGCATATGAAGAGGATGCTCACAACGCACAGCCTTTCGTTCCTGACGCGGCTCTTACAGAAGCAGTATCGTCCCTAGTTTCTTGAGAGACCCACATCCCCAGGGATTGGGACAACCTACAGCGCAAAGCTAGTTCCACCTTCTGCGCCACCTGATGTCACTTGCGAACAGTGGATAGCAGACAACCAGGCGATGATACTTGGCCGGCTTAGGCCTGATTCTGAGGACGTTTAGGGTTTAGGGTTTATAGGGTCTATAGGGTTTAGGGTTTAGGGTAGGACTTGAACTTCTTGGGTTCCTTTCTAATTATCCTAATTCCTTAAACCCTATATTTCCCCAGCTTCCCCTAAACTTTCCATATTTCTTTCACATTTGATTCTTCATTATTTGGGCAGTACCTCTAAACCCTAATTCTGATCCGTATGTATCCCCTATATAATCCGTAAATGACCCCTACATTGCTCCCGCCCCATATATTTTGAAGAGGTCATACAGTCTAATACCCCTAAACCAAAAACCTCGAATAGAGTAGCACCATTTAATTCTCCATTTTCTTTTCCATTTCAGTATCCTTAAACCCTAGAAAGTAGTTTCCATTTTCTTTTCCATTACCACCATATTAAATCCCTATATAATTCTTATATAACCCCTCAAATGGTAGTTTCCATTTTCTTGTCCATAGTCCCATTGGGGTCCTACCCTAAACCCTAAAACCTAAACGCTAGACCCTAAACCCTACAGTCGGCTAAGGATATATCGCCTCTCCGGGGATTTCAACCCACTGCACATTGATACAGCCGCTGCCAAGGCAGCTTAGAAGACTATGCGCTTAAGGGTTCAGGGTTCCGGGTTTAGGGTTAGGGTTAAGGGTTCATGGTTTGGGTTTTAGGGTTAGGGTTCGGTGTTTAGGGTTGAAGGTTTAGGGTTTAGGGTTCAAGATTTAGGGTTCAGGGTTCAGAGTGTAGGTGAGGGGCATATGAGGGTAGTATATGTGTCGTATTCTGGTGGTTGTATAGGGGTCATGTGGGGATCACATTAGGGTTTAGGGGGTATCACTATCACTCCAATCATGGAGAATTAGCTGGAGAAAACATGGAAAACTGATTGGAAACTGGATTATATAAGGGTTTCAGAAACCTTTTTGTTTTTCGAATCACATATGTCTTTAGGGACCTCGCAGCCTTTGTATAATATGAGACGAATCACACGGATACCCTACGCCCCAAACCCGAAACCCTTAAACCCTAAACGCTGAAGCACTACAGTTTTGTGAAGGTAGTCAGAGACCACGCAGGTAGGAGGCTTCGACCAGCCAATCCTGCATGGCCTTTGTACCTTCGGACATTGCGCTAGCATGCTGTTGGGCGCTCTCTGTGATGGTGACTGGGCAGTTCGTTCAACCTTTTCCAACATCCTTCTAAAGACTTCATGAGCTGGCTTTGATCCACAAGTGGCCACGAAGCCAAAAGCTGCCTACAGCATGCACACAAAGCTGAGGAGATGCTTCAAGATTCAAGAAGATCAAGGTGCGATTTAGTTCGCCCGAACTTTGGCTGCCGGCAATCTTTTGAGTTTAGGATCGGTGCACTTGATCCCTAACCCTTGCGCACATAGCGCTGTACGCTAAGCAGCTCCACACATTCCTAGACCTCCGAAAGAGTGGCACGAGGCCGGAAATCAAGTTTTCTCGCACTACGTGAAGACAATTGCACTTGCTAGCAGCAGTACAACTGACCGCAGTTGCGCAAAGGAGTCCGCAGCTGAAGTTTCCATGACAAGGGTAGGAAATGGTGATTCGGAGGGTTGACATGTTAGCAGCTAGCTAGCGGTATGTTAAGTTTTGGCCTGGGCAATTTGATAGGGAAATATTGCACCACCTACAGCCCCGCAGTGCATAGAAATTACAACAGATTAAATTTCAATCAATGGTTTGGTAGTTTCCACGTTTTCAACTCCCGCTATACTCCATGTAGCATACCTACCCTAAACCCTAAACCTTAAACCCTAAACCCGACATGTTGAACAAAACTTGAACCCTAAATCATAAACCCCTATGTCCCCTTGAACGTGATCCTACCCAGGTGTTTATGAGCAGCCGGCTCCGTGTACACGCCTGGCATGATGGCCCTGGCCGAGTGCTTTTTCAGGCCGAGGTGGAGGGAAGGCTCCAGACGGGGGTGACTTAGGGGTCTTTAAGGTGTTTGTAGGGGTCGTGGGTTTTTAGGAGTTCTAGGGTCTTTAGGGGTTGTAGGGGTTGTGGGGGTTTCGGGGCTTTAGGAGTTTTAGGGTTTGTAGGTGTTTTAGGGGTTCTGGGGGTTGTAGGGGTTTTAGATACTTCAGGGGTTTAAGGGGTTGTAGGGGTTTTAGGTTGTAGGGTTTTGGGGTGTAAGGGGTCTAGGAGGGTTTTAGGCGTCAGGATAGGGTTTAGGGCATGGAAAGGGTTTTGGGAAGACATCGGGCTCTGAGTATATGGCATAGACTTTCACATGAGGCAGGCGTTTATTCTGGTTTGGGTAAGTGCATTTAGGGTTTGTTACGAGGCTTGGTGGGCAGATTTGGGGAGACCAAGAAGACAGAATATAGGCAGCCGGTCCAACCACGGGCTGTTCTACAGATCATGAGTCCCCAATTTGGCGGTTTCTTTGGGCTGGTACGTGTTCCTGAGCCTGCTATAGATTAAACTTCATCAAGTATGATGATACCTCAATATCATTTTTCGAGCTTGTATGATGGGTCATCGATTCTAGCCGTCGCTTATAGAACTGCCATATACCCCCTACATAACCCTTATCTTATGCCAGTATAAATCCCCATATATCTCCTGTTGTACTACAGTAGTTTTTTTTCATTTTGTTTTCCATTGTTGCTTTTGGTTGCTATGTGTACACACTGCTTTGTACATAGGACCGCCTAGTTCAAAAAGTCGTAAGGCGACCTTTACATAGCCTTTAGAACCTATGCCAGCATCTAGGATTGCCTTGTAGGCTTGTGGTGTCCAATGCCTTCTTTGAGTTTGATGCCGCGCCTAGTCCTTCAAAGCTGTGATCTGTGCTTACCTCGCGTCGGCAAAAGTGCGAGCAGGGGCTAAAAGCAAGGCCTGTCTTGGCGGGAAGTTGGCCCTTAGCTGTAGGGTTGGTGAAAGGAGAAGACGTCAGGTTTGAGATTTGTTTGGCAGCTACCACACATCGTCGGCTGAAAGCTGCAGGTAGGAATGGGTTGATGCTCACGCGTGCAGGAACTGCTGGCGCACCCCCGAAGTACCTTCGTTTGGGCTCTCAAAAGCAGCCGCAAGGGAGCGTAGCATGTAAGCGGTCTACATGCATAGCATGAGTTCCTCTCGCAACTGAGTGATTATCATTTTTTGGCAACAATCCGTCTCACGCCTGGCGAGTATGAGTTATTTGAGTTATTTATGTGCCAACACCAGTGTCTTCATATACATCTCGGCGAGATCATCTCGACCTAAAACGCAGGACTTCCCAAAGTTCAAAGAGGGACAAGAAACGTCTACCCTGAACCCTCACCTGAAGGCCTTCAACCCTAAACCGTTCGATCTTGCGAGTTTGAGCAGGACTCACGTCGTTCTGAAAACTTCAGTGAACTTGAGATATGGCTAGTGCGCCATCAAACCGCCCTCGCTCGCGGACACCGCCGCGGGAGGCGAGTAAAAGAGGTTTAGGCTGCAGGGTCTAAACCCCAAACCCTTGAGGTTTTTCGGTTGGGGGATCATGGGGGTAACGGTGAGGGGCTCTGGGTGGCTGGGTGGTTCCTGCGGTGGGGGTTTGGCAGTTCCTTTGAGGAAAGATACGAAGTGCAAAGAAGCGGGCTGTACATGACCCAGCATATGCCTGATTGCAGCTCATACAGTTGATGCTCCATGACCCTCCACCTACCTCCACAGGAAGGAAGGTCCCTGGTTTACTTCGGAGACTGATATTCAGAGTTGTGGTTCCAGGTTGAGGCTTTAGTGTTTAGAGTTTGTAGGGTTTAGGGTCTCTACAGGTTTCAAAAAGTAGTTGTCAGGATGCTGGGTTCAGAGCTGCGTTTGAAGGTCTTTCTGGTCAGAGTGAGGGGTCGCCTAGCCTTCGTAACATGGGCTTGTATAGGGATAATGTAAAAGAGAATGGAAACTACCATGCACTGTCGAATTCTGAGGATCATTGTTTTCTTGCCAGTTTGGAAACCTTAAAAGCCAAACCTCTGCGTCAACCTAGTAGTTTAAAGATCACAGGCTCCCGGAAGTCTTACACACGGAAACCCCAAATGACGCAAACCCTAAACCGTTATACACCCTAAACCCTTAATTGTAAACCCTGAAGCCCTAAGCCTTGGCAGCCAAAGACCCTCAGCCCGTAGATGGCCAGCAAGCCCCGCAAAAGGTCTGGCATGAACTTTTTTGGCCTGCTGCTGCGCCAACCGGAGGTTTGTAGTCTCCTCTCCTTCCTCTGAATGCGCCGCCTTGCCTTGTACTTATCTTGTGGCCCCTCCGTCGTGGGTTCCCTTATGGTCTCATGACATGTGAGGGTTTATGTATAAAGCCTGAACCCGATTGCTGAAGTGTGTCTGAACTTTTTTTTGCGCGTTGAGAAATGGATTCAGAAAACCGAAATACGGCAAAGATAGCACCATCAAAACCGCCTAAATTACCAACACCAAGACCGCAAAATCCGAACTCACAGTTTTGGGCAGGCAGTGAAGGCTTCTGCTGCCTCCGTGGCCGGTGCCGCGTTCAAGGCAGCGCATCAAGCTGTTGCTATGACCTGGGGTTTAGGGATTGGTGTCTTACACGTTCAGGAATCATGGTTGGTTTGGGGCTGAGTGTTATCATGTGTTGTCACTACATTATTGTTACTATTATTGTGGCTACCAAAACTATTATATTGGGTTAATTAAGATTAGGATAATGGAAAAGAACATGGAAACTACAATTTAGGGCTTAGATTTGTTGTGATGATGCTTTAGGTTTTAGGATCTTGGGATGAGGGTTTCTTTTTTCGACTGTTCGTACATATGATGATTTCATGTATCAGCATGGTCTTTCCCGCAGCTACTCTACTCCATGTGTTGCGGTTCTTATGGCCACAGCTGCTCCAGTCTTGTTTTTACTGATGCTCTTGGGACTGCTCTCACATGGCTCATACCCGAATGAAACAAGGCTTTCTCAATTGTGAGCACTAAACCCTAAACCGCATATATCCCCAATATGCTGTAGTTTCCACTTCTTTTCCCTCATCCCCATATAACCCCAATATACCCCTTAAGCCTGACCATCATGATGCTGGCATGACTGCTGCACCATTGTGTTGGTAGCGGAGCAGTTGTGTACTCCCTAAACCGTGAACACTCAGCTCCAAACCTCAAGACCTGACCCCTCAACCCCTCAACCCCTCAACCCCTCAACCCCTGAACCCCTGAACCCCCAAACCCATCAATTCCCAAAACCCCTAAATTCCTCAACCCTAAATGCTTACCCCTCTAAACCCCTGAGCCATCTGCCCGCAGCTCGAGGCCGCCCTTGCAGCAGCCAGTGCACTGAAGCAGCCGCTTCGCTCGGTTTAGGGTTATCGAGGTTGTAAGGATTTAGGGTTCAGGTGTTTAGGGTTTAGGGGGTTGGGGTTAAGGGGTTTGGGGGTTGAGGATTTAGGAGCTTGGTGATCGATGGGTTGGGGGGGGTAAACTGGGGTATGATGGTGAATCCAGGCAGAAACTCAAAGCAGAATGACACTGAAGGTCAGTTTATACCGGGCGCTCAGGAGTTGTAGAAAGTCCGAAGGCATCATGCGCAAGTATCCTATTCCTTCCAATTACTGTTATGGAGAACACTCGTGTGTCATAATATGCAACCCCGTTCAGGGTTTAGAGTTTCGGGTTTAGGGTCTGGGGACTTGCCTGTCCTTTATGCGTGCTACTCAGCTCTTAAGCCGATTTTCTACGTAGATGGTTTAGGGTTTAGGGTTGAGGGAGATGGGGCTCAAGATTTGCAGAGTTTTTGGGTCTGGAATTAGGGGTCTGCATGTGGTGTGTAACGTCTGAAGGAGTCTAACCCAAGAACCCAAGGATTCATTGTAGATTTCCGAAGTTTCGTTTTTCTTCCTAGCGCTGAAATGGCACAGTAAGTGAGGAGGCCAATGTCATAGAACCCTCATCCTGCTCAGAACCAGGAAGTGTAGAAGGAAATGCAGAGCATAAACTTCTGGCCCTAAGCCCTCAGCCCTAAACCCTAAACTCTAAGCCTACACTCTCGATCTTAAATCCGAAGCTCTGAAACCCCTAAACGTTACAGGAGGTACTACCCTCCCTACCATGGAACACCCGGGAAGCCGCCTGTCGACACCATCCTGATCTTAATCCTTGAGGGGCCCTTTGATCTTCCAATAATCCCCATATGCGCTACAGTCTTGGCTATATAAGCGATTATATCATAGGGGACTACTATAGGGCTCATTAATTAAGGGGGGATACTAGGTGTTTAGACTATGGCTCAGATGGTTGCTTGTCAGACTGGCTGTCGTTTTTTTGGACCCTGATTGCGGCCCCGAGTGATTCGAAATTTAGGGTACACAAAAACGGAGCAGAATTGACCACTTCCCATATATCCCTAGGTTTCTCCTTATTCTGGCAACCCAAGTATAGTCCTCAAACCTAAGCTTCTAAGGTCAAGCGTATGGGCCCCCAACATTGACCCTTAGCACTTTTAGGGCTTCAGGGACCCTTGCGGGTACTTATAGGGTGTATCGTAGGTATACAAAAGGGCCCAAAGTTTTAACCTTAGAAAGCAGTGCTCTCCTAAACCTTAAACCCCAAACCC